AAACTTTGAATCAATCTGAGCCTTGGGCCTTGAGATGACATGTTGTGAAATATTTTGTCTTTGTTAGGTTAAACGAAATCCCATGGAAGCACATAACATTCTTATGTTAAATCACAGGATTTACTGAAAAATATGATGTAAACTTTTGTAATAGAGAGTCTAAGAAACTGTTTAAACTGATTCACTTGATTAAAAATGGTTTGCTATATAATTATTTCTCGCCAATACAGCCTAATATGTTGGTCGCACAATTCAACGTCACGGATGGCGCTATAGATATAAACTGAATAGAATTGGTTGAAACAGAGCTATCATACAATAAATGTGATCAAAGTTGATTGAAGAGTTTTTGGAAGTCGCTCCTCCTTGGAGCCCAGCTGATGTTTTTTCTTCAGGGATGTAGTTGGACTTTCTGGCAGTCAGAAATGAATAGATCAGAGGGTTGAAGGAACACGTGCATTTAGTTTTCCAATAGAGTCAGGATGGATAGCTGGGTGGATGGATAGAAGATGGGCTGTCGACTGATAAATGGGCAGAAAGTAGACTGATGAATAATTGATGGATGGATAATGGACCAACATGGTGGAGTAGCTGAGCAGGAGGATGAGCGGATGGTTTACTGAACTAAAATATTAGTAGATGTTTACAGCATAGATTGGATGATGTCATGTTTTTCCCTCTAAATATTCTTCTCTGTTTTCCAAGCACTAGAAAAGTTTTACATCCTGACTGCATTCGACAACAGCTGCCTTTGGTTGTTAAACTCTCCTTCCTCGAAGAGCGGTTGGGAAATGCTGCAGGAACGGTGCAGCTCAGTGTGTGCGGTACACAGGTGGATGTGGGGCCTATTTATGGGGAGCAGGTATGGTTATAGCAGCTGCCAGGTGGAAGGTCAGTTCAGGGGTTTGAGAAAATATGGAAATCAGCAAATTTATCTATAAACCAAACTGAACGATTGTTGTTCTCTTCTTCAAAAACAATTAAGATTTTTAAATGGAAGAATTTTCTGTTTTTTAAATTTCTTTATTCAAAAATTCCATCTATAACATGGATGCATAAAAACCTCATTTTATTTCAGTGTTAGATTCTGTTTAAAGTAACAGATTCTAATTAAAACTTTCTCCAGACCTTTACTGGTTGATGATTTTCTTTATTCAGACCCCACATGGTGACCTCTGCTCTATTCTATAGAGAAAGAATAAGAAGAATCAAGACAATTTTCTTTTTGGTTTGTTTGTAAATAAAAATAAATAAATAAATAAATATCTGTCCTTATTTTTGTGGCATTTTTATGCTGAAGTTCTTTCCAGGTAGAATCTATAGCAGGTGGTTCTATGCATCAATACATCAGATGGTTTCTTAATTCAATTCAGTTTATTTATATAGCGCCAAATTCACAACACATGTCATCTCAAGGCACTTTACAGTTCAACCAGATCAAATTGATACAAAGTTTTCTATCTAAGGAAAACCAGTTGATTGCATTGACTCATTGACTCAAATACAATCCCCCACACTAAGCATGCTTGTAGCGACAGTGGAGAGGAAAAACTCCCTTTTAACAGGAAGAAACCTCCAGCAGAACCAGGCTCAGTGTGAGCGGCCATCTGCCGAGGCCGACTGGGGTTCAAGGAGACAGAAGCAGAGATACAAAAAGCAGCTGTAAAAGGCGGCCCCGTCCAGGAAACACACAGCCAGGCAGACGAGCTCCAAGGCAGCTCCCATGCCAGAGGACGAAGAAAGCACATCCACTCAGTCACGGTCAGAGAAACAGGACCACACTGGAAAACAGGCCGATCTCCAACATCTATAAACAAGGGTGTTGATAGAAGCAGCACAGCTGATGTTTCTTTCCAGGATGACGTCACAGCCAAACAGGAACAGACGAGGCAAAGCTACTCTGAGGAAAAGCAGAGAGAGCAGAAGGTTAGAGATTGAACTAACAGATTCTGCAGAATAGGAGAACAGAGAGAGAATGAAGCAGAATGATGAAATGGGGGTCCCTATGTCCTCCAAAAGTCTAAGCCTATAGCAGCATAACTATAGAGATAGCTCAGGATAACCTGAGCCACTCTAACTATAAGCTTTATCAAAAAGGAAAGTTTTAAGCCTAGCCTTAAAAGTAGACAGGGTGTCTGCCTCACGGACTAAAACTGGTAGTTGGTTCCACAGGAGAGGAGCCTGATAACTAAAAGATCTGCCTCCCATTCTACTTTTAGAAATTCTAGGAACCACTAGTAAACCTGCAGATTGAGAGCGAAGTGCTCTGTTAGGAACATAAGGAACAATCAGATCTCTGATATAAGATGGAGCTTGGCCATTTAAGGCTTTATATGTGAGAAGGAGGATTTTAAATTCTATTCTTGATTTAACAGGAAGCCAATGAAGAGAAGCCAGGATAGGCGAGATATGATCTCTCTTTTTAATTTTCATTAGAACTCTGGCTGCAGCATTTTGGATCAGCTGAAGGCTTTTAACTACAGTTTGTGGACTTCCTGATAGTAAAGAATTACAATAGTCCAGCCTTGAAGTAACAAATGCATGGACTAGTTTCTCAGCATCACCCCTGGACAGGATATTTCTAATTTTTGCAATGTTCCTCAGATGAAAGAAGGAAATTCTAGAAACCTCCTTGATATGGGACCTAAATGACAGGTCCTGATCAAAAACAACACCAAGATTTTTTACTTTATTATCTGAAATCAGTTTAATCCCATCCAAATGAAGTGACTGGCTAATCAGTTTCTTTTTCAGAGACTCTGGTCCAAAGACTATAACTTCTGTTTTGTCTGCATTCAGAAGCAGAAAGTTAAGAGTCATCCAGGTTTTTATGTCTTCAAGACATGCCTGTAATCTATGTAATGGGTTAGCTTCATCTGGATTTATAGACAGATATAGCTGGGTATCATCAGCATAACAGTGGAAATTAATCCCATGCTGTCTAATAATTCTACCAATTGGGAGCATTCTTAGTGTGAGGGATTGCTGAAGAGTCAATGAATCGATGCAATCAACTGGTTTTCCTTAGATAGAAAACTTTAAATCAATCTGACTGGATGATATGGTAAATTTAATTGAAAGTTAGAGGTTCTTTAAAATTCCACTGGACTTTGTTTCCAAGTCTGAAGACGTTTCTCTTCCATCCAGGAAACTTTTTCATTTCAAAATGTCAGAAATAGCGTTGAGTTCCAGGTTTTATCCAGCAGCCCAACAAAGCCTGTTTTTTGTTTAGAAAACATTAGATTAGATTATATTCAACTTTATTGTCATTACACATGTACAGGTACAAGGCAACGCAATGCAGTTAAGGTCTAACCAGAAGTGCAACAGCAGCAAGTGCTGCTATTGCACTATAAATAATGGGTCCATAAATACAGGACATGGGTTCTACTGAATGAGTATAGAGATGAATGCTATCATAATTAATGAATATAATATATAGATCACTAGTGTTATGAACTAATTTTTGCAGCTGGATATGTACCGAATATAATATACAGGTGGATATTACTATAAAAAGGGTTTTTACAGTTATGTACAATAGCATAATATACAGATGGGTTTTACTATTAAAAGAATAAATAAAGTTTGAACAGAAGCTATCTAAATTAAAGTGCAGTGGAAGGTAATTGGATATTACAGTTAAATTATGTTAATGCAGATGTAAATGTAAACTCTTGGTGCTGTGAATAAACAGTCGGCAGTGCAGATCAATAATCAGTCAATGTGAGTAGTGCAAGATGCATATAAAAAGTTGTTACAACAGTAACAGCCAGGAGAGCAGGTGAGCATTACAGTCTTGTAAATAACAGAATAGCAGAATGGTGGTAGGTGTGAGGAAGGAGAGTAGAGTCTATCCATAAGGGTTAGAGTTCAGTAAAGAGACAACCAGTCTGTGGGCTGGGTGGGATGAGTCCTTAATGCTGCAGGCTCCATGGAGGCAGCGTTTCTCCTGGATGTGCTCAATGGTGGGTAGTGAAGTTCCAGTGATGCGCTGGGCGGCTTTCACCAGCCGCTGCAGTGCCTTGCGCTCTGCAACAGAACAGCTTCTGCACCGCACTGTTACACAGTTGGTCAGGATGCTTTCTATTGCACAGCGATAGAAGTTCACCAGGATAGTTGAGGGGAGCTGATTCTTCCTCAGTGATCTCAGGAAGAGCAGGCACTGGTGAGCCTTCTGGAGAGACCATGAGCCTCGTGATGTACTCGCGCCAAACATGCTAATAGAAACGGATGAACGGGTCCATCCCTTTGGAATGGGGGTCGTTTGGCTTCTTTGGTCGCCTGCAATGCCCCATACCTGTCTATGTCTCTGAAAGAGGGGTCGTTAAAGGGAATTGCTGGCCTGGCTGAACAGGTGAGGTCTTCTGTTCTCCTGTAAAGGGGTTGGTGCTGCAATGGTAGCGGGAAGGAATCAACTCTATCGCTGCAAATGTAGGTTATTGAAAGCTGAAATCTGAGCCAAGCTGCTCTCTAGACTCTAAGAACAGAACAAAGCAGCTCTACTAGTCACACTTGTAGTGACACCACTAGTTCAGAGTCACTAGGTCCCCAGCTTCTATTATTTAATGTCTCTCCAAGTACCAACGCTCTCGGATTCTCCTGGACCTCTGGGTTCAGTCAGCAAAGCCCTACAGATCCATGCTGCCCGCTTTGTCCCTCAATAAGCAAATCAATCGGTTTCCATCTACCAACTCCTTCCAGATCAACCAGAAAGTTCAAATGACTTCCTGTAGTTTTCTGCTTCAAGATTCATGTGTTTTTTTGTAAATAAAACATTAAAATTCACTGGTTCTGTGTGATTCTGCATGTGGGTCAAAAAGCTAAAAACCAACAGGGACCTAACTGACTTGTTTTGTCTGGGTGGTTTCTTCATAGTTGAGGTAGTAAAAGTACTAACAATAAAAAACTGTTTTTAAATTTAACAAAGTCCAAACTTTTACCCCTCCCCAAGCAACACCCTGTCATTACTGACTTCTCAACTTTTTTCCCCCCCCAAGGATCCAGATAAAACCTGAAGAGCAAAAACAAGCCTGACAAGGAACAAGAAGAGTGGGAAATAAAACCGAACTGAATATGGAGGAGAAGAACGGAACATTTGGGGGTTTGTAGTCCAACAAAAAGGAAAGAATGGTGAAATAAAGCCACAAGGCTGTGTGGAACAGCAGCAGACTTACAGGGAAAACATCTGGATGAAGGAGCAGCCAGCAGCTTCCTGCCCTACAAAGATGGCCTCCAACTTCAGTGACATCATCAAGCAGGGCTATGTGCGAATGCGGAGCCGGAAGCTCGGGGTTAGTGTCTTTATTTCTATGAATGCTGCGCTCACACCGATCGTGGTCTATGGGGGCGTCGTCTATGGTGCGCCGTTCATAAAGTTAAGCAGTCAAAAATTAGGAGGAATTATTTATGGTTATTTAGCGTATTTTAAGAGAATTTAAAAGCTTATTTTTTCCCAAGTCATTTTATCACTATTTCATTGATTCATCTTACTTTGTTTAAAATATATTTAGCTTCCAAATAAATATTTAGTTTGCAAAATAAATATTTAGTTATCACAAGAAAACAGTTAATGATTTCTTGAGATAACGAGATGATTACCCTGTATGAGTGATGAATGAGGCGGCCAACAGGCCTGGATTCCCCGTCCATCCATGCCTGCGGGGCCCATAGTTGTTCAGTCGCAGTATGGGCTGATAATCAGATTTTTATTTTCCTATTTCTTTTGACTCATTGTCAGGTGGTGGTGGATGATCGGATTGCATGGAACACAGTAGAAACAAATCTGACAGTTTTTTTCTTTTTATGAAAATCTTTAATCTGGCTCATTTTAGGGGTTAATGTATCTTATAGCTTTTACATGCGTAACACTGTTTAGAAAACAGCTGGAGGCATAGGTCTAATTGCTGCTGAATCAGAACTGAAAGCAAATCATCAAACCAACAACGTTGTCTCGTATCCTAAAAATAAACACAGGATTATCTACAGAATTACAAATAAACTGCCATGACTTGTATTTATAAATCCTCTCCTGCTGTCGTGGTGTTGAAGGATGGAATCAGTTTTAACGCACACCAACCATCTAGTTATGACGAGAAAATCGGCTTTCATTCTCATTCATCTTTAGATAATGAGAAAATTTACTAGTTTTCTCGAGAAAACCACCGTGAAAAAGTATCTGAGAGACACGACTGCTCTGGGAATCCTTATGTATGGACTATGAATGGTAGATATAAACGGAGAGTAATCTTAAGAGGCTATAAGATAAATACATCTGGAAGCTATATGCAGATTACACAGAAAGTTAGGGTATGGATTTTATATATATATATATATATATATAACTCCCAGGCCTCTGGTAGAGGACCCGAGCTTGAGGATGACACATACCACCCCACGAGTTTGTTTTTTTGTGTTTTTTTTAATATACAGGCAGGGCTCGATGTTAACCATCGCCCGATCTCCTGGGGAAAGTAGTTTTTATTGTCGGGAGAGTACAAATTTCATTGCATTTGCCCACCGGGCAAATGCAATGATCGCAAAAAATTTTTTATTTATCACTCAAAATTACTTTAAAATCAACGACATTCGCTAAAAACGACGCACAGCGCCATCGTTGTTGTTTTGTACACATGCATGATTTGAAAAAGCTGCGTTATTTTCCGCTAGATGGCGTGATTTTTGTCCACGATTCAGCTCTTGGGGAGAGAATTCTGCAGAGCAGCAGCTGGATGATGAATTTAATCTATACTATAATACACGCTATATATATATATATATATATATATATATATATATATATATATATATATATATATAATTATTGGGGCTATAATACAGGATAAATAATTGCATAATAGCAGAAAAAAAATTCACAGATTATAAACTTGAGAAGTACGTGTTAGTGGTGTGGGACCCATGGATGTGTGTGTGAGGACAGGTAGGCCCTATATGTTACTGCCGTGTTAATTCCATGCAAATGTCAACCTCACCATGAAAAAAGTAGCATAATTTGTAATAATACTTATTTAAAAAATACATAACCAAGGTTTTTTTATGAAGTATTAAATTAATTTAAACGCACTATTGTTAGGATTAATATTAATGACGTGTGAGTCTATTAAACACTAATAATACCTGCTAAGGTGTAAACACAGAGCCTTCCAGAACACTATTTTTGCAAATGCATGTTTTTCTTCACTAGAGTGATGAGAGACAATGCTGTGAAAATATTTTTTTCTATTAACTAAACTGTCTGACTTTCTGAGTGGGAACAGAAACGTCACTAACCTGCCTGATTATCAGAGGGTTTCTGCATCACTATGGAAATCTGCTGGTGAAGATTCTCAGTCATCCAGGTCATAGCCAAGAACGTTAAAAAAAAAAACAGTCCACTGGACTTTGTTTTAAGACGTTTCTCTTCCCATCCAGGAAGCTTTTTCAATTCAAAATGTCAGAAGTAGTGTTGAGTTTGATATTTTATAGTGTGGACCAAAAACAAATCCTTCTTTTGGCTTAGAAAACATGCAAAATGAACCTGATGACAAGTCCGCCCCTTTGAAATGGGGGCTGTTTTGTCTCTTCGTTAGCCTGGTTGAGCCAAGCCCGAAACCTGTCTATGTCTCTGAAAGGGGGTCATTAAAGAGAGTTGTTGGCCTGTCTATGTCTCTGAAACAACTATTTTCAGAGACATAGACAGGTTTCGAGTATTACAGGCTAACAAAGAAGCCAAACAATGTCATGATCTTGGCGCTGATGGTTTGGTTTTGTCATGATGGGTCTCAGAAAAGCCCAGTATGCAGAACACCACGGAAACAGATGAAAAGTTTAACAAAGTTTATTGAACACAAGCACATGGAATAAACACAGGAACTGGTTCAGGCCTGGGGGCAGGTTCACTGGAGTCTGTGAGGATGACAGTTCAGTTAGCTTGGGAGCAGATGAGTTTGAGTTAGAGAGTTTCTGATTGATACCTTGAGGTGTCTGGGTTTGGCTTTTGAGAGAGGAACTGTTGGGTCCAGAGACTGTTAGTTCAGCAGAGTCCAATAACCGCTTCAGCGTCTTACTTCTAGCGTGAGGGCAGACCTTGGCTTTGGGTTTCCAGCTCTTAGTCCAGAGCAGCATGGGAATCCAGAGAAAAGTCTTCAGGTTTGGCTCAGAGGGCAGGCTCGGCAGGTTAAGCTCATCCAGAGCTTACAAGGGAAACTGGATTCCTGGAAGCAGAGACAAGGAGGAATTAGAATCCAATCAGGATCAGAAACAACAAAGATTCTCAGGAGATGCTAGGCTCAGGTGCTAACCAAACTGGATAAACACTGCGGCGTTGAGGCAAGGTCTGCAGGCAGGTTATATACTGGAGGATCCTCTGATGATGAGATGCGCCTCAGGTGTGTAGAAGGCTCAGCTCAGGAGGATCCACGACGCACTCTGCTGGAGAAAGGTGGAACTTCTCCAGATCCCAACAGGTTTTTTCCTTTGCTCCTTGCTCAGCTGTCTAATTGGTTCTGCAGCTGATTAACGGTGATCATTTCCACCGGGTTCCTCTACTATTTATGTTGTGTGTTTGCCTCCCATCAGTGCCAGGTTATTCGAACTTTTGGTGAGACTAACTCTAGCCTTCTGAAGTCGTTTTCCTGATTGGGACCAGTTTCTGCCCTGTGGATCCCGAGTTTTGCCTTGCCCCTGTCTGCTCTGTTTGTCTGATCTGTTTCCTGGATTCCGCCGGCTTCTGAACCTGGACCTGTCTTCTGACTCCGGCTGTGGATTTCCCCTTTGGACTCGGTTGATGCTCGGCTTCGGCTGGCGCCTGCTTTGAACTTTCCCACTGCCTGTCTTACCTACAATTCTGGGTCGAACATTTTGAGATCATTACAGATGACCCCCATTCCAAAGGGGTTAACCCGTTTTATATTTCTATTTGCATGTTTTCTAAACAAAAACAAGGTTTTGTTTGGCTGCTGGATAAAACCTGGAACTTTCTGACATTTTGAAATGAAAAAGCTTCCTGGGTGGAAGAGAAACGTCTTAAAACTCAGAAACAAAGTCCGGCGTTTGTTTTTTTAACTTTTTTGGAATCACTAAGTAAATCAGTCATGTTCTGTGTGTTTCCTCTGGCAGGGGGAACCTGCTTTTATGGTGAGGATTTCTAGGACGACCTATAAAACAATTTTAATAAAACATACATTTAAAAATCAGCCAAACTTTCTGAGCAAACCTAACATTTACTAAGATGACACATTAGCAACACCTGGTCCTGCTGGTCCTACTTTGTTCCACTGATTTTTCTGTGTTACGTACATAACATGAATGGCTTTAAGTCATCTCTCATCATTGGTAGATATAGATTTTATTCAATAGATTAAACTCCAAAGATGTATTATTTCATGAACTGATTTCACAAAATTAAACACATTATGTAGATTAATTACTCACAGTTAATTTTAAGTCAGTACTGATGTTAATAACAGCTACAGCTAAGAAAACAGGCAATTCAAGTGTGAAACAATAAATCATTGATAAAATAACGTTTTTCAAATTTATAAAGCAGACGTTATAAAATACACACAGAACAGGAGAGGGTACCATTTGTACAGTTTCGCTACGTTCACACAGCATGTTTTCAGCAGCAGAAGAAGCTGGTTTCCATGCATGGTCAATGGTTGATGCGCATCAAGGTGAAGGATAAGGTCCTGCAGCGCGTCTAGAGCAGCTGAAGCAGCGCCTCATGAGCTTCTGAGAGGCGTGACGCGCTTCACTAGCAGCAGCTGCTGGAGTTGGAAAAATTTAGCTTTAGCTTCTGGAGAAGCTGATCTGGTAGCTGGCAGGGAGACAGACACAGTGCTGCTGATGCAGAGCGCTATGATCACTCATCTGAAACAGTTGAAATAGAAAATGTAGAAACCTTCTGGCAAAAAATGTTCGTCTTTATTATCCTGGTGTCTGCAGTTTGGATTATGTACATGAAAAATGCTAACATTTATCTCCAGCCGCCACCATCAGTAGAGGAAAACCCCGAGGAGGCGAGCAGGCCTGAGGCAGCTGCTGCTGGGGATTCCCAGTGACAGTGCACCGCCGGTATGTGGGGGTCTGAGCGGCTCCCACAGAGAAATAATCTTTGAAGGCAGGATGGTGATCTGGATGAACTGACTGCACAGACCATGTTTTCAGGAGGACTTTCTCACTTCAACATAGATTCAAACTACTTTTTATCCACTGATCACAGCAAATACAGCAAAGCTGCTCTCTGCCATTGAACACAGGAGCAGCAGAAGCATCAGCATCTTGACTCACTTTACTGGAAGTCTGACCTTAATGTGGAAAAGCATCAGAAATGTACCAGACGCTTATTTGCTGCTGAAATTGCATGAATTGTGAACGTAGCATTAGTCTGTCTTATGAAAAGGGGGAATTTGACCCATTGTTGGCTCAAAGCCTGCCATAGGTCCCTGTTTCAGTCCTCACAGCAGGTCAGTTTTCCCATCAAACTTTTTTCTGACATTATCCCTCCACTGGATGTAGCTTTAAGACCAGTTTCTTTTGGTTTTTCAGGGTTGGTGGATGTTGTAGTGGACCCAAAATTAGAGTAGAAGCGGCAAATGCTGGTGAAGATTCTCAGTCATCCAGATCCAAGTTTGAAGATGTTTCGCTTGCCATCCAGGAACCTTATCAATATGAAAAAACCAAATACAAATTTAATAAAGGGAGACCCAACAGCTTAAAGTAACTAAAATAGAACCTATGGTCCTGTCACACCTTGCCGATTTAGCCAGCGTCTGCCTGACGTCCCAGAATCTCCTAAAACGCTGGCATACACTGAAATTTCTATGGATTTTTCTATTTTGGGCCTAAACATAGAGTATTCATAATGAGTCCAAAACTTCTGTCCAATGACAGCCTAACTTCTGCATAACGCAGGGCAGCATAATGCCCATGAAATGATGCACAAGCCAGTGTCCTGAAGAGGGGGCAGCGATGCGCCTGGAAGCGCCCAGCCTGCAGAAAAAGATTTCTTTGATCGAGGTTTTAATCTAGCTGCTGTTTACTAACCTGGTAAACCAGACTAAATGGGAGATGAAAGGTTTTATTTAGTCTGGCCCCGATGAATGAGACATCGGAAGATTGTTGATGAGATCAACCCGTTGTTTTTCAAACTATTTATGTGCCTATTGGCCAACGCTCTGACCAATGAGCACGGATACGCCATTATACAGTAGCTGGAAGTTAGAAACACATTCAGCGCTCGTCTGGAACACGTCAGATACGTTGATATGCGTTGGAGAGAAGTTCTGGATAAGTTACGCAGAAGTTATGCACAGAGTTACTCAGAGATTTAGGATAAGCTAGACGCTACGACTGATGAGCAACTGACACTGAACGCATGTCAACCATCAGATAACTGACCTGGAATTGATGACCCATTTATGGCAGACGCTGTGCGTATGTCCACGTGGTTCAGCGTGTTTCAGCGTACTGCAGCGTACCCATAACATATCCAAAGTTTGCCAGATTTTTCATACGTCAGGCATACGCTGGTTTAAATCATGAAGGTGTGACAGAGGCATTAAATAAAGCAAACGGAGAATAAATCTAATGACTACAAAATAAGGAATGGGCAACGGAAAAACTGGATGGTAAGAAAATGAACTGGAGATAACTGAAGCCATGGAAAACCTAACCTAAAGATAAGAGAAAGAATAACTAGAACTAGACCAAGGAATAAATAATACCAAAAATTTTGAAAAAAGAGATAACCAGGAAGAACAAAATTAGGAATACAAAATTGATCTAAGTCTAGAGAACACAGAAAAAAACAAAACAAACTTGAGAAACCCCAAAAAGAAAACTTAAACTGAACAAAAGGTCCAAAATGTAAGATTAGAACACAGTTGCCTTATTGTATCTGAACACAGCAGGATATATATGCTGCTTCAATTTTCATTTCAAAGCACCTTCACTTTATTGTCCCTTTATTTTTGATCTTTTTACATTTTTAGACACCAACACATCCTTCATGAAGACTAAATTAAAAAAGCTGGTCATTTTTAGATTGTTTTTCTTTATGTGTCTTTTCGTATTACAGATCTATCGCCGTTGCTGGCTGGTGTTTAAGAAGTCATCGAGCAAAGGACCCCGCCGTCTGGAGAAATATCCCGATGAGAAGGCTGCCTACATCAGAGGATGTCCTAAGGTGAGTGTGTGTTCTGGTGAAGGACAGGTCTATTGCTCTCTGTGACGGAGCAAAGGAATGACATGTTCACACCACACACAGGGACAAAAGAAGGCAGCCAGCCTTCACATCAAAGTAGGTCTTCTGAAGAAAGTCGAACATGTTTTCCTGCCCTCACTTGGCTCCCATCCCTCCACCTGCTGGTCATTCTCTGTCTGGTGAACAAAACAGAGCAGCTGCACTGTAAAAAAAAAATCTATATAAATAACTCTATATATATCTATATAAATAAATAAAATAAGTGCATTTTTTCTTAAATTGAGGAGGTAAATGAGATACTTTGCCAATGGAAGAAGATAATTTACATTTAAAATAACATTGACATTGACAGATGATCTTATTTACCTGCTCAAATTAACCCTCCATAGGTCACTCAGTGAAATACTTTGAAAATCCAGATTTCAAGTCAATAGCATTATAGGAATATAGGACAACCCTTATTAGCTTTGTAACATTAAAAAAAAATGCATATTTTGATGGCAAAAATTTATGTCATTGGAATAACAAGAAACTCTAACTTGCCTGAATCTATTAAGAAAAATAAAAGTATAAGAAATTCATGAAAAACACAACAGTGAGAGAAACACATTGTTTTTGGTCCAACATAACCATCCATCCATCTTCTTCCTCTTATTCGGGGTCGGGTCGCAGAGGTAGCACCTTCAGTAGGGAGGCCCACACATCCCTCTCCCCAGCCACTTGGTCCAGCTCCTCCGGGGGAATCCCAAAGCGTTCTCAGGCCAGCCGAGAAACCTAGTCCCTCCAGTGTGTCATTGGTCTCCCCCTTGGCCTCCTCCTGCTGGGACGTGCCTGGAACACCTCACCAGGGAGACGTCCAGGATGGATCATAATTAGATGCCTAAGCCAACTCAACTGTTTCCTCTCAATGTGGAGGAGCAGCGGCTCCAGTGGTGTAGTCTATGTGATACGCGGGTATACGCCGTATACTCACTAGAAAAGCTTGTGAATTTCCGTATAACCACTTAAAAGTGCCCAACGCAGCAGGCGCAGCGAGTTTACATGCAAAGTCAATGGTTGACGAGCGTCAAGGTCACGCAGCGCTTTTGAGCATACAGCTACGCCGCAAACGCGCTGCTGCTCGAGATGGAAAAATTGAAAATTTGCTGCTCGACGGGCTGCATCAACCAATCAGAGACGCTGATCTGGGAGCTGGTAGGGAGAAAAACACATCGCTGATGACACAGAGCACTATGATCACTCATCTGAAACAGTTTATTAACGCCTAAATTAACTGAAAATGCTGAAACCTGCCGAAAAAGTGTGTTTGCTTTTATTATCCTGGTACCTGCAGTTTGGATTACATTCATGAAAACCGCTTCCAGCCGCCGCAGCGAACCCCGAGGAGGCAACAGGTGTTATGCCCAAAAATGCACACCTGCCAAGATATGCATGGAGCTTGGGTTCTTATATTAATGATATAAAAACTTTTAAATATACCTCTCGTGGAAAATAAATGTGGTTATTTAGCATATTCATTTAAAAAAATACGGATTTTTAAAAATAACATTAATTCCAAAGATTTTGACCAAGGTACGGCTGATTTACTTGTTGTGGTCTCTTGTTATTTACACACAACAATAAACCGTGGTAGCCGACGTGACTTTTAAAATTACAAAGCTTTCTCTTAAGGGTAAAATCAAATGCGCATCTACACAGCACAGCGTTCACAGACCAGTGTGATATGGCTTGTAATGTATTTCTGTTTTTTTTTTTTTTTGATTAGGCACATTTGCTAGGTTTTTATTCTAAAAATCTATAATATTACAGCAGTAAATTATCAAAGTTTTTTTAAAAGCCCGTTTAAAAGCTCCAAATGGGGCTTCAGAGCATACAGCTACAATTGCGCTGTGGTTTTTTTACAGGCAGAATTAGCATTTGCTGATTCTTGTCCTTTAACTACTGATGGATGTACAGGAATACAGTTATACAAGTGTCAACTCCTCTGAGATAAAAAAGGTTGCAATTTTTGGCAAGGACCTGCCACAAAATGCATCCCCCTTGTTTTTAACCTAAGAATTGTCTCACACACATGAAATTCACACTGGTAGCTCAGTACACATGTGGAAGCATGTAGTAATTGTTACATCTGATACAACTGCATATTTCTGTAAAAAAGCATGGGATGCAATTTTTGGCAAGCACCTGCCACAAAATGCATCCCCCGTGTTTTTATATATACTACACTAAGAATAAAGTAAATAGCACAAAAGAATTACATTACTGTGTTTGCAACTGGTTTTATTTTCCTAATCCAAAAAGGTGAAATGGAGATGTAAAGTATAAGTTTACATTTAGGTCGGATGTAAGATGTAAATCTTGATTACCTTAACGGCAGGTCCTTCCGAAATATTGCATCCCCTTCTTTTTTACAGAAATATACAGTTGTAGCAGATGTAACAATTTCTACATGCTTACACGTATGTACTGAGCTACCAGTGTGAATTTCATGTGTGTGGGCCAGAGGCTGCTGTTGAATGGGATTCCTACTGACAGTGCACCGCCAGTATGGGGGGGTCTGAGCGGCTCCAACAGAAATAATACTGCAAGGCAGAATGGTAATCTGGATGAACTGACTGCACTGATGAAGTTTTAAGGTGGATTTTTCCACTTAAAAACATTAAAACTACTTTATTCCCACTGATCACAGCAAATATAGCTGCAGGGCAAAGAAAGGATAGAGCAGGGAGCCTGAAAACCTTAAACCACTGACACTTGCATGCAAACCATTCCATGTAGCACAGCTGAGTGTGAAAGAGGGTTCAGCTTAATGAACAATATCTGTACGGATAAAAGATCTTCTCTGTTGTTGTCAAATATAAGTCATCTCATGATAATCAGTATAAATGGGCCTCCTGTTAATCTTCTTGAACCTAGGAAGTATGTGACAACATGGTTAAGAAACCACTGCTCTGCAACAGAAACAAGAAGACAAGTGAAATATAAGGAGCCTAAGAACAAACAAGTCTGGAACATTTTATAGACACAGTTTTAACCTGCATAGTACTTCTGTACTTACATGTAGTACTTGATACTTAAGCATGTTTTGTTGTACTGTTTTATAGATTCTACATCTTTTCAATACAAAGCCAACTGTAGTACAGTTTGTTGTTCATTGATTCAAATGTAAGCAACAGACAAATTAAGCAATGCTAAATATGCTTAAAAAAAAAAAAAGCTCAATTACATTACACTTACTGGCGTGCTTATTTCTAAGCACAGTATACCCACTACAATAATGTAGACTACACCACTGAGCGGCTCTACTCTGAGTCCTCCCCGGATGACTGAACTTCTCACCCTATATCTAAGGGAGAACCCAGACAGAGAGAAGAAAACTAATTTCGGTCAAGACCCAAAGCTCATGACCATAGATGAGGGTAGTTATGTAGATCAACTGGTAAATCGAGAGCTTTGCTTTTTTGCACAGCTCTCTCTTCACCACAACAGACCGGTACAGCTCCCGCTTCACACCAGACGCTGCACCAATCCGCCTATCGATCTCCCGCTCCATCTTCCCCTCATTCATGAACTAGACCCCAAGATACTTAAACTCCTCCACTAGGGGCAGTAAATCCTCCCCAACCCGGAGAAGCCACTCTACCCTTTTCCGGCTCTAGACCACTGATCCTCAACCTGACAACTTAACACTTGGCTACGAACCCCTCCAGTCAGAGCTGTACACCACACCCTGATGAAGCCAATAGAACCACATCATCTGCGCATAACAGAGATGCAACCCTAATGCCACCAAAACAGATCCCCTCAACACCTTTACTGCTTCTAGAAATTCTGTCCATAAAAGTTATGAACAGAATCGGTGACAAAGGGCAACCTTGGCGGAGTCCAACCCTCACCGGAAACGAGTCGACTTACTTCCGGCAATGCGGACCAGGCTCTGACTCCAGTCATACACAGACCTAACAGCCCTTATTAACAGGCCTGGTATTCCAAACTCCCAGAGTACCCCCCACAGGACCCCCCGAGGGACACGGTCGAATGCCTTCTCCAGATCTACAAAACACATATATACCGGAGCCCCCTGGCTCTGCTTCCTCAATGGAAGACATGTTGGTGGAATTAAGGGGGTCTTCGAAGTACTCCGCCCACAGACATATGACATCCCAAGTCGAAGGCCAGTAGCACACCACCCCGACTATAAATAGTGCTGGTACTGCATTCCTTCCCCCTCCTGAGATGCCGGATTGTGGACCAAAATTGCTTTGAAGCTATACGGAAGTCTTTCTACATGGCCTCTACAAACTCTTACCATGCCTGAGTTTTTGGCTCAGCGACCAGTCGAGACACCTGCCGCTTTGACTTTCGGTAATTGTCAGCTTCTTCTGGAGTCCCACAGGTTAATAAAGCCTGATAGGACTCCTTCTTCAGCTTGACAGCTTCCCTCACCGCTGGTGTCCCCCAGCGTGTTTGAGGGTTGCCAGCGCGACATGCACCAACAACCTTGCATCCACAGGCACGGAACACGGTCCACTCTGTTCAAAGCTCTCTCGAAGATGGGAGTCCAACCAAAATAGAGCAGGTGTCTACTTGTGCCGGTTCTATGCAAGCACAGCTGTAGAGAAATGTGCACACTCTGAGGGGCCCAATGCATTTTAATGGGCTCTGAGTGCCAAAACCTCATATGACCTAATTTTCTGTTGGATCTGACATAAACCATGTCAGATGTGTTCAGGTCTTAAGAAACATCCCAGTGAGCAAAAATTGGTTAAAGAGACATTGTAAAGACAGCATTAGGTTGAAAAGGGAAAGGTGAAAAGCCGTAACTTTCAGATTGTTAAAAAGATGTTACAAACTGGGTTTGTAACATCTTTTTAACGTCTATTCTTAGACTAAAGTGGAACTAAATCAGACCGACCAAACAGCAGAATTTTCAACAACCTTTTCTGGACTAACTCCAGACTATTACCGACCAGATTTATCCTAAAAACCAATGTCTAAAGCATCACATGTCTTCAGCTCCACCACTAGGGGCAGAGCCAATCATTTGGCTGCCTCTAGTGTTGCTTTGTGTCTGGCTAATATAAGGCCCGGTCCCATTCCTCTCACTTGGCTCTGAGAAGACTCTAGTGAGTTCCCTACACAATAAAGTATACTCAATGAAGGAAGTGCAAGTGAAGATTTTCTCCCTGAGAAATGGGACATCACTAGTTGCAGAATTACACCACAGCCCTCCCTTCACAATCGACGCAAAATTCACTGGTTCATCTTCTCGGCTGCTCACCACCCTATTTAGATCACCTGCTGCAGTCAAAGCCTGTCCCTTCCAACACCCCCTCCTCACTTCATCTACAATTACTTATTCCCAAAACCAAAACTGCCTTTGGTCTTGCTTCTTTTCAATATGCTGCCACTCATGACTGGAACACTCTGCAAACATATTCTTAAACTGGATAGACTCATTTCAATTTCAGCCTTCAAAAAAAAAAAAAATATCATCCTTGTTCACAGACACTTGCAGCTGATTCTCTACAGTCATTTTGGGTTGTCTGTTGTGTTTTAAATTGTATTTTATGTAGGTATTACTAATGAGTTGTGTTTATTTTAGCCCTACTTCCCATTCCTCAGTGGTTACTCCACTTGTCAGGCTGCCATTGTAAATAAGAACTTGTTCTCATTGACCTGCCTGTGAAAATAAAGGTATAATAATGAAAATATACCAATAACCGCAGCATATCTTGAGGATCTGGAGAGTTTAAATTATGAAAAATGAGAAAACAATTTTACAAGGTATTTTGTGAAGCAGTGAGCACAGAACATGGAGCAGAAACAATGAAAAGTAGAAAATCTATTTGCCTAAATGCACAGGAGGGAAGGGAGAGAAGAATGAAAGGCAGGAGACATTTTGAGACTCTAGAAACTCATAAACTCTTGAAAAAACTCACTTTAATGTCTTACATGTTGATGTTAGGCGATGATAGGGCGACAGTGGGGTTGGATGTAGAAGTTTGCCCTGAAATCGAAGGATTGACGGTTCAAGCCCTGACTCTGACTTTCAGTGTCATCGTGTCCTTGGGCAAGACATTTCACCTGCATTGCCTACTGATGGTGGTCAGAGGGCCCGGTGGCGCCAGTGTACGGCAGCCCCGCTTCTGTCAGTGAGCCCCAGGGCAGCTGTGGATACAATATAGCTTGCCACCATCAGTGTGTGTGTGAATGGGTGAATGAATGTAGTGTAAAGCGCTTTGGTCAAGTTACCTGAATTGAATAAAGGCGCTATATAAGTACATGCTATTTATCATTTACCATGTTGTTCTACGGCAGTCTGAGGTTAGAACAGGATGTCTTAGGTAAACATTGTGTTTTTAGTTATTTACTGCATCTCGAAATGTGCTTCTTAATCCTCTTCATCTTCCTATACTTTTTATATAGGTAACAGAAATCAGTAACGTCAAGAACGTCACCAGGTTACCTCGGGATACAAAGCGACAGGCGGTAGCCATTGTGTTCACTGATGACACTTCACGCACCTTCACCTGTGAATCAGGTAGGATTGACCAGCTTCAGGAGCTTTTCCATGTATGGGATTTGGACAGTAAAATGGAATGATCTAGATGTGTTATGTTTCTTAGAGCTGGAGGCAGAAGACTGGTTCAAGATGCTCTCAATAGAGTGCCTTGGTTTGAGGCTGAATGATATCAGCATGGGAGAACCTGACCTCCTGGCTGCTGGAGTGCAGTGTGAACACACAGGTACTTTACACACACACTCAGAGAGGGAAAGAGGCAACTATTCAATTCAATTCAGTTTATTTCTATAGCGCCAATTCAACAACGCGTCATCTCAAAGCACTTTACAGTTCACCAGATCATCCAGTCAGATTGATTCAGTTTTCTATCTAAGAAAAACCAGTTGATTGCGTCGACTCATGACTCTTCAGCAATCCCTCAAACTAAACATGCTCGTAGTGACGGTGGAGAGGAAAAACTCATTTTGAACAGGAAGGAACCTCCAGCAGAACCAGGCAGAGTGTGAGCGGCCATCTGCTGAGGCCGACTCAAGGAGACAGAAGCAGACATTGAAAAAAAGAAGCTGAGAGACAAAAGGCAACTGTCAACCAGCTCCACAGGCGGCCCCGTCCAGGAAACACACAGCCAGGCAGACAAGCTCAGAGCCAGCTCCCATGTCAGAGGATGAAGAGAGCACATCCAGTTAGTCACAGTCAGAGAAACAGGACTACACTGGAAAACAGGCCAAGCTCCAGCATCTAGAAACAAAGGTGTTGATGGCAGCAGCACAGCTGATATTTCTCTCCAGGATGGAGTCACAGCCAAACAGGAACAGACCAGATGAAGCTACTATGAGAAAAAGCAGAGAGAGCAGAACGTTAGAGATTGAACTAACAGATTCTGCAGAGTGGGAGAATAGAGAGAGAATGAAGCAGAATGATGAAAAAGGGGTCCCTATGTCCTCCAGCAGTCTAAGCCTATAGCAGCATAACTATAGAGATAGCTCAGGATAACCTGAGCCACTCTAACTATAAGCTTTATCAAAAAGGAAAGTTTTAAGCCTAGCCTTAAAAGTAGATTAATGCACAACATAACTAAGGGTGTGTTTGATTTCAGACGCTACGTCCCCCAAGGACTCGGTCTACCTGGACTGGGTCCTTGGAGGTCTGTGAAAATTGAGTCATGTGCTTTGATCAAATAAAACTGATGGCATAATAGGTCACACCAAATCTGTCCCTTATTATGCAGATGTCTCTGATACAGTTTTTTAGCAGTTAGGTCCTGTCACTGGTGATCAGGGTTTGCTTATTTGGAAACATTTCACTGTTCTGCTGGGTATGGTGTTATCTATACAAACATTTCTATAGTCAGTCACACACTCAGTCATTGCATTGATTTCCTCTCCATGTGGCTGACGCAGTGCATCCGTCTCTAGCCTCATATAACCTTGCAGGGTTTGTTCAGCTTCCTCTGACCATTTTCTTATACTTTGAGAAAAGCTAAATTTTGATCTGATTCCCCAAGAGGAGGGCTTACTACATAGATATGTGAGTCCTTTGAATAAAAAGAGACCTGAACCAATCCTACCAGCTCATATCGTCAAAAAGCTTGCCAGTGAGAGGCTGGAGCAGGTGATATGATCCTATAGTCATGTTTCAGTGAAGTAAAAAAAAAATTAATCCCTGAAATTCTGGGTCCTTTCTAGGGCTTAGCACTCTTCAAAACTGTTTGGTTGATATCTCACATTGCCTACAGTAGTAGCCATTTAAAAATTCCCAAGTTCCTCGATGGGCCCTTGGCTGGTCCTTGGCTGATCCTTGGCTGGCCCTTGGCTGGTCCTTGGCTGATCCTTGGCTGATCCGTGGCTGGCCCTTGGCTGGTCCTTGGCTGTTTCCCCTTCAATTAATTTTTAAACATCAATCTTTGTACTAAAATATTCTTTCTGTCAGACCCTTTCACTGAATTACAGGGTCTGACCATTAAGACCTTCTCTTTAGGTCTTAATGTCCACAAATCATGACAGAAAGAATATTTTAGTATAAAGATTGATGTTTAAAAAGGAATTGTAGGCGACCAGCCAAGGAAAGTGGGGAAATTTTAGAGGGCTACTAATGTATAAAACCTGGAACTCAATGCTATTTCTGACAATTTGAATTGAAAAAGCTGCCTGGATGGGAAGAGAAACGTCTTTAAACTTGGAAACAAAGTCCAGTGGATTGTTTTTTAACTTTTTTGGAATGACTCTGACCTGGATGACTGAGAATCTTCACCAGCATGACCCAGAAGGATGAACTGAAATATTTGAAGTTGTTTACTTTGGTAAAAATGTCTTAATAAATGAAACTATTGTGTTATCTTTGTGTTGTCAGAGCGTTTCAGAGTCTTTCTCCTCCCCTCTCCCACCCTGGATATCTACGGGGAGTGCATGATGCAGATAACCCATGAGAACATATACCTGTGGGATATCCACAACCCTCGCAACAAACTGGTCACCTGGCCCCTCTGCTGTCTCCGCCGCTATGGACGTGATGCCACTCGCTTCACTTTTGAAGCCGGACGGTGAGACCTGGAAGAACTAACAGTGGCAAAAGTAGGAGAATAATTTCATAAATATAAATTTTATAAACATCTTTTATGGGGGAGTGGTGCCCTAGTGGTTAGAGCAGTGTGCTTGTGCTCTGAGAAGGTTTCAAGTTTGATCACCATAGCCTCCAGTCGGGGTCCCTGAGTAACACCCTAACCCCACACTGCTCCCCAGGTGCTACACAATGGCAACTTACTGCTTTTCTTCCTCTGATAAATGATCTGGGCTTAATAAGCAGAGTGCAAAAAATTTAAATCCAAGTAAGTCTTTGGCAGTTTCTCAATATCTGTACTTTTGCGTCCTTGTGTACTCGTGAAATGTCATCAGCCTCACAGGGCTGCCAACTTTTCACCAAACCTTGGAGTTTGATTTTAAATTAGTTTGGACTGGCAACCCTTGCCATGATTCGATTAAAAGGCTCTGAGGATAGGTGCAGCCACAGGTTGTAGGTTTTCAGAGGATTTAACTGAAACAAAGCAGCAAAATGTGGAATTTTTAAAGCGCAGTAAATGTTACTGAGTGATCTGTAGTTATTTGGAATATTTTCACACAATAAACATTATTTTCTATATTCTTGTGATTTTCAGAGAGTTGAACTAAAAGTATGGGACCTACTAAAATACTTGCATCTACTGTAAACTAAGAATTTGATAATAATTTTATCCAGCTAAAGTAAGACAAACGATGTGAAAGTAATGAGTTATTACTGGAATACTGGCACTAATACAGGAGCCATGCAAACTACACTATGTATGAATATTTGGTAATAGGCTAAGGATTAAAAATCTTAACTCTTATCTTATTCAATTTTTACAATTGACAATTCAGACCTTTTAAGAGGCTGTAGATTCTATAAAAGCTCACCAAGACCAAGACGGCATTTCTGTGAATGTTTTATTTTGGTAGCTGTGATGGAAATTAAGTTTTTAACAGTGGTGTCAAAAGTTCACCAATTTGTTACTTAAGTAGAAGTTTAGATACTGCAGTTTAAAACCACTATATTAAAAGTTCAAGTATCAACTTGACCTCTTTACTCAAGGAAAAGTGAAAAATAATGTGCTCCAAAACTACTTAAAGTATAAAAGTATAAAGTAACCTTTAAAAAAAACAGCCAGATGCCACTATATGAATTGAAAGCTCAATTTTTCGACTATTTCTAAAAATTCTCTGAGATAGGGCCAAGGATGAGGGAGGTCTTGTTGGTCTCCATCTCCCAATACGCTCTGGCCTGTGTCCAACCTTTAAGACATTTCAACATCTTTTTCTGAATCCCACATTGTAGCATGGCATAGACAATTCACGTTAGCAGTTTGAAGAACACCTGCTTGCTTCTGATGATATCCTTTAGCTAACCAATGAGTCTTTGCGTTATGACTCAACCAATCACACTAGTTTTCACTAGATGTGGATGGAGCCAATGATCTGCATTGGATGGTGCACATAACGTGAAATAAACATTTATAAACATTAAACCAGGGGTAGCCAATTAAAAATCTGTGGGGTACTGTCATGGTTTTTAAGGTGTTTGACCCACACGCAGAACTAACACAGAAGGCAAGAGCAGTTTCAGACGTTTATGTAACAAACAGCAAGGAACATGAACACTGGAAATTGCAGCCCGGTAGTGCAGATGGATTGTCAGCGCAGGCAGGACTTGATCGATCTGCGTGAGAACAAAAGTAGACACGGAGATCGGGAGGATGAGTGAGAGGAAACGTTAATTAAATCTACCACCGGATGAAGGAACCGGGCTGGGGGGAGTGGAGAGACGGACTCAGTGGGGAACCTCCCGAGATGTTGGCTGGTGACTGAGTGACAGATGGGCAGGTTATAGAAGTCCGTGAGGAGGGGCCTGAGCAGCAGCGGCCGAGGAGGAATCTGGGCGCAGCTGATGGAATCAGAGGGACTTGACAGGGTCTCCAGCCGAGGGTCCAGAACATGGTTCTCAACGGACGGGACTGAGATCTGTCTCTCATCTGACGGATTGGAGGAAGTGAGACAATGGAGGGTTGCTTCGAGTTCCTGATTTAGCCGCTCAGTCTGACCATTAGTTTAGTGATGATAACCAGAAGAAAGACTATACCTGGCACCAAGGGCAGAGGTCCTTCCAGACCCGAGACGTGAAGTGAGGCCCTGTGTCTGATAAAATATCCTGGGGGAGGCTGTACAAGCGGAAAACATGCTTAATCAGGAGCTGAGCGGTCTGGAGGGCAGTGGGGAGTCTACGGAGCACAACGAGGTGACAGGCCTTGGAGAATCGGTCAACGATGGTTAGGATGGTCGTCATTCCCTGGGAAGGATGCAAACCAGTCACAAAATCTAGGGCCACATGAGACCATGTGCGTCTTGGAAAAGGAAGTGGTTGAAGTAAACCAGCAGGGGGCCGGTAGGATGATTTCTTTTGGGCGCAGACTGGACAGGCGAGTACATACTCCCGGACCAGAAGCAGCGGGAGATGTAACCGGATCCGGTGGAAGCCAGGTTGAGCTGAGAGCTTGTTTGAATGGCTCCAGTCATAACTCGGTAGCGTGGGTCTTGTGGACATAGAGTTGGTGGGGGGTCCAGTTCCCGGATCCGGATCATCCCGTAGAGCCGGGGAGATTAGATCCTCTATCTGCCAACGGAGGGCGCCAAATGTGCAGGTGGATGGAAGGATAGGGACTGGTTCTGGATCTGTGTCTTGTGGGGCATGGAGGCGAGAAAGAGCATCAGGCTTAAGATTCTTGGAGTCCGGGCGTTAGGAAATCGACAGGTTGAAGCGGGAGAAGAACAGAGACCATGGTGCTTGCTGCACTGCAAAAAATCTAAATCTAGATAAGTTATTTTTTCTTAAAATAAGTGCACTTGTTCTTGAATTGAGGAGGTAAAAGATACATTTTGCCAATGGAACAAGACAATTTACACTTAAAATAAGAAAACAGAACTGCATTGTCTTATTTCAAGTGCATATTATCTAATTATCTTATTTCAAGAGTAAAATTACTCATTCCATTGGCAAACGATCTCATTTACCTACTCAAATTAAGGGTGAATACACTTAATTTAAGAAATTTTTACTTATTTCTAGATCGTTTTTGCAGTGTGGGGATTGAGTCGTTTGGCTGCCTGGAGGTAGGCCAGGTTCTTATGATCCATCCATCCTATAATAGGCTGCTCAGACCCTTCAAGCCAGTGGCGCCACTCTTCCAGGGCCAGTTTAATGGCTAATAACTCTATATTGCCCACGTCATAATTACTTTCAGAGGGGTCAGTCGACGACAGAAAAAAGCGCTGGGGTGGAGCTCACGGTCGGTGTCGGACTGTTGGGAGAGAACAGCACCTATCCCAGTGTAAGAGGCGTCTATCTCGAGAGTGAATTGTTTAAGAGGATTGGTCTGCATGAGGATTGGGAGAACTTCTCCTTTAATTTTTCGAACGCGGAGTTAGTATCAGGGTTCCAAATGAACGGGACCTTTGGTGAGGTGAGGGCATGTAGAGGGCTATTTGACTGTAGCCCCTGATAAAACGGCTATAGAAGTTTGTGAAGCCAATAAAATGCTGAAGCTGCTTCTGAATCTCAGGTATGGCCAAGTCAAGGACCGCCTTAATCTTGTCTGGGTCAGATCTGACTCGTCCACCCTCTAAGATGAGACCAAGGAAGGTTACGGAGGACTGGTGGAGCTCACACTTCTCAGCTTTGACGAACAGCCAATTTTCGAGCAGACGTTGAAGCATGAGTCGTACATGATGGATGTGCTCAGTGAGGTCTCGGGAGTAGATTAGAATGTCATCAATGTAAACGAAGACAAAAACATTCAGGTAGTCCTGGAGGATATCATTTACCAAAGCTTGAAAGATGGATGGGGCGTCGCAAAGCCCAAAGGGCATTACCAAATACTGAAAATTACCCAGAGGGGTCCTAAAAGCCGTCTTCCACTCATCTTCCTGGCGGATCCGAACTAGGTGGTACGCATTTTGCAAGTCTAATTTAGTAAAAATCTTAGCGTCTTGGACCGGCTCTAGCACAGAAGAGAAAAAGGGGTAGTGGATACTTGTTTTTAACCGTAATCTGATTAAGACCATGATAGTCTATACACAGATGGACTTTGTCTAACTTCATTTCAGTGTTTGGAATTCCAACGACCATTCAGACAGACAGACATACCAACTTAACTTCACGGATGTTTGCTGAGATCTTGAAACAACTTGGTGTAGTCCATCAACAAAGCAGTGCTTATCATGCTCAAAGCCAGGGGGCTCTAGAGTGTTTTCACCAAACCCTGAAGGCATTGTTGAGAGCATACTGCACAGAGTTGGGTAGAGACTGGGAAGAAGGTCTGCCTTGGCTTCTTCTGGCAGCTTGTGAAGTTTTACAAGAAAGCAAAGGGTTTATTCCAAATTAATGTAGTGTGAAATAGTGTTTGGACATCATGTGCGTGCTCCTCTGGCTATTCTAAAAGCTAACTTGGAGAGTTCTGATCCACCATCAAACTTGTTCGACTATATTAATGGTTTTCATTGCAGACTTTTCTTGGCTGGCAAGTTAGCTTTGGAGAATCTTAAAAAAGATAAAAGAAAAATGAAACAATGGTTTGACCAGAAGGCTGAAAGTAGAGTGTTTCACCTAGGAGATACTTCCCATTCAAGGTTCATCATTTCACGGAAAGTTTTACGGTCCATATTCTGTGTTGCGACAAGTATTTGCACAAGACTAAATGGTTTCTACCCCAGACCGTAAACAACCAACTCAGCTTTGTCATGTAAATTTACTGAAACCTTATTTTGGGCGTACTTTGGAAGAAAAAGTTGTGAAGGCAGTTGCCTCTTCTGTGAAAGTAGACTTGAGCTGCACAGCAGTATTAGATGAGGATATGCAGACTCCAGATGATGCTGTGTTCCAGCCTAGACTTAAGAACTCTGAGATGTCTAATTTGCAAACATGATTGAGTAATTTGTCTTCAAAAAGAAGTGAGCAGATGAAGCAGTTACTTTTGGA